TATATATATATATATATATATATATATATATATATATATATATATATATATATCCATATTCACGTCTATTTTCTTTTTCAATATAAAATATTAAATTCTCTTCAAGAGAATGGATCATAATAAACTAGACGTGATTTATCATATTAAATCAATAGCTCATGGATAATAATCATATTTTATTTTGTAATCTCTAGATCTAAAATACATAATAAACTTTTAAGTAATTCATGTGATTTTTCTTTTGGATTAAAAAAAATAATGAATATTTCAAGGTCAAGTTTTAATATTAAAACCTTATAACTATAATGGTAATAAAATGTATTACATATATACATACATACATACATACATACATACATACATACATACATACATACATACATATATATATATATATATATTAGATTATACTTTACAAAGTAAAACATTAACGTTAACATTTTACTATAGATAATAAATACTCATATATTAATCACCACATTCATTAATTCTTACTATCATAAAACTAATCATCTTTATATTCATGACTAAGATACTATTAATCATCTTTATATTGACTATCTTCAATCAATCAGGTAAAATGCAAATTACATTACCTAAGTTCATATTTTAATTAATCATGAATATACATTATATAAGCATGATAAATAAGTAGTACTTATCTCGATGACGTGAAGTGGAGACTGTAGTCTGGCATATTGAAAACACTTAGGGTTTCACCAGTGGTGAGAAGCTCATGTGAAAATTTTCCTTTCACAATAAAACATAATCCTGCGCTTAAAATTTTGCTCATGAACATGGCTAATGTTAGTAACATTAATATTTAATATCGACTATACCACTAACTATCACCACTCGTTCAATGGTTTAAATCAATAAGGAAAAAAAATCATAAAACATGTTTTATCAAAACACATTGGTCAGCGATCATACACTTAAAGTAAAAGAATTAAACATGTACTAATGTTTTTGTTTGTATGAATATCTGTAGAAAAATTTGACCAAAGCGAATATACTAGTGTATTGATAAGCATAAATAAAGTTACAATAGTTTGTTCCAATAAGAAAAACATAAAAATATGTGTCACATGACTGTAGAACATGAACCGATAGTTCAATCAATATCTAAATAAATTCTAAACCAATCCAACCAAACCAATTAA